GTATGTGTGGTATGCACTAATCCTCACACAATGGTGCGGTAGTAGCAGGTTAAAACCCTTATCCAGTTTGTCTGGAGCCATTTTTAATCTGTTACGGCCCAACTATAGCATCTGTCCCAACTTTAGTTGGCCAGCCCAACTGCAGCACTACAGTTGGGACTGTGCCAACTATTGTTGACCAATTTCTGTAGAAATTTTCTCAACCTTATCCAAATTTATACATCTCACACTTGACACAATTCATCTAAAATATGGCACTTCTTCTATGGCATGTCATTGTAAACAATATGACCTTTGCATATGCTGGGCACTTGCACACTGGACCTCTCTGCTGTAGTTGGGCCGGCCCAGCTATATCACTCTAGTTGGGATAGGCTCAACTACAGTTCGGATGGTCCCAATTACACTGCAGTTGGGGCGTAACAAATCCGTTTAGATCTACTTGTCAGAAAGCAATTGGGACATGCTATGACAACACATTATAAAGTCCAAATAAAGTGACAGAGGCTGTCTGTTCAAAAACTAATCACTGCACTGCAAACAATCTTGTTTGCAGTGCCCTGGGAATTGGAAGATCATCTTGAAAGTTCAGATGAAATCCCCAAGTACCTGCGATGACACTGCTCATGGGGCTGGCGTTGACGGGCGTGGCCGCCAGTATCCTCTCCAGCTGCCTCCCGTGCTCCTCCTGTATCTTGGCAACCTCCTCGGCGTGCGCTGCCATCTGGTCACGGTTGACGCGCAGCACCGCCTCCTCCATCTCATGTCGGTGCCGCTCCTCCCGGGCCCGGGAGTGCTGGGCGTACTCTGCCCGCAGCTGGTCCATCAGGACCTGTGTCTCGCGTTCCATGGTGCGCTGGATGTCGGCCACGTGCTCCTGGTGTTGGCGTGTCAGCTCCGAACGGATCTCGCGCAGTTTCTGTCGGATGAACAACACTGTTTTTTTCAAAAATTGCAAACTTGAATGGGCAACACTCCACAAAATCAACATGAAAAGAAACAGTTCCTATTTGAAGAGGGAAAAGACTGAATGGGATTCACCCTTGCAGCCCTCAGATATACTGCATTGGAAGTTCCAGGTTAAAATCCCATCTCAATCAATTTTCTGTTCGGCTGAAAAGGATCACGAAACTGAGTTGAGAATTGAACAAAACACACTACAGAGTATTCTGGATAGTGAATTTTTGGCTATGCAAAGTCCAGCTGATTAGCTACATTTTCCTACAAAGTTAGATTTTCCTCCTAGTATAAATCAAAATTTTCCTTCTAATCAATTTTATCCTACTATTCAATAAAGTTGTTCCCACTAAGCAAGTTTATCCTGTTAAGCAAGATTTTCATACGAAGCAAGATGTTTTGTGGAATCAAGACTTTCCAACAAAGCAATTTTTCCTCCAAAGTAAGTTTTATTAGCAAATTGACCCCTGACCTGCTCCAGGGTCTTGCCCGGTGACAGTCCCTGTAGACTGGCCATCTTCCGGTCATAATCCATCTCCAGTTCCTTCAGTCTCTCCACGTCCGAGGCTTGAGCCTCCCGTAGCTGGTTCATCTCCGCCTCGTGACGCTGCTTGAGTGCCTCCAGTGCCTCGGCATGCTTGCGCTGCAGCTCGACGATGCGCAGCTCGTGGTCATGCTGCAGGCGCTGCCAGCTAGTGTCAGCTGGTCCGTGGGGGGACAGCTGCTGCTGCTGCTGTTGTTGCTGGTGAGGAGGTTCCTCGTCCAACTCTCGCTGCTGCTGTTGCCGTAGCTGGAAAAGTTGCTCCTCCAGATTATCCACTTGGAGGCGGAGTTGGGTGATCTCTGCCTCTTTTTCCTAGAAACAAATAAAGCATTCACTCTTCTCACGCTGCAATTAACAAGATTACATGAGAATCTAGAACCAATTTCATACAAACTTCACAGGATCAAGCTCAGGGGGGTGCATCAACGCTCAAACTACCACCACCAACAGAACACAAGGAACTTGCTAACCCACACAATCACACATCCATACCTGCACTTCCTGATTAAGGGCCTTGATCTGGCTCTTATAGGTCTTGGTATCACTCCCTCTGGGAGATTGCTCTTGGAGCCGGACCAAGAGTCCCTCCAGGTGATCCACCTCTCTCTGACGGGCCACCAACGTCTGCTTCAAAGACAACATCTCTTGTTCATGTCGAGTCTGGGGAGACGAAATAAAGATAACTTTTGTTGGTTTACTTGACTTGTAGGTCCAGCCCATCAAAAATCCAGTTGCAAGTCATGGTAGCCTTGGCAAAATTCATGGGACGGAGGTACGCCGAAAAATTATTTGTAGGATTAGCACAGAATCAACTTTACCTCTAATGCAATGCTGTGTTTCTGCAAGGTCTTGAGTTTTTCTTCCACCTTGGGATGTGACAGTACATCCCTCGACCTCTCCTGGTCCAGCGACTGCCTCAAGGTGGCTATCTCTCTTTCTTTGGTTTTTAGCTTGTTGTCCAACTCTCCCTGCAACTTCTCCTGTGGAGAGACCATCAAAGACAACGTTGGAAAGAACATTTGGAATAAGTACTGCCAACACATCACAAGATTTCCATTTATTGAGCAAATTTATCTCATCTTTAATTATTGTCGTGACTTACTACTTCTTTCTCCAACTCCTTCACATCAGTTGCCTCTGGAGGGCGCTGTGACTGGCCCAAGGCTGGCTCTGGAGGGCGCTCAGTCTTTGTCTGGGCCTCGTCCAGGTCTTGCATAACCTGGGCCAGCTGCTCGTTGAGGTGGTCAATCTCCTGGTTCTTCTCTTCAAGGAGTTCCTGGGCAAAGCGGGGCATGGAGGCCGCCATGTCTTGACTGGACAGCGTCACTTGATCCTGGAAGATGGCAAACACGATGCAAACCCCTTCAACAAAACCTGCTCTCCACCTGACCTAAAACCCACAAACCTCATTCAATACATGGCAACACTGAGGTTCTCCCGTTTCAAATTTTTCCAGGAAACACCCCTCTCCATCTCTTTCCCCTACTTACGAACCTCACAACACCCCATCCTTACCCTCTCTAACCCATCCAGAGCTCTGCCTATCCTTCTCAGTGGCCGCTCCAAAAACCCTTCTCCAT